CCCCAAAACCCCAAAACCCCAAAACCCCAAAACCCCGAGAATGAGGATTTCATTGAACTAAATTTATAATAATTATAAAAAATGGAGAAATTAAGCTATCTCGTACGGTTTGAATATGAATATTTTGAAACACAAAGCCCTAAAATCTATATCCTTACTAGGAAGAAAGAGAGAGATTCGTGGGAAAAGAGAATTAAACCAATGGATCCTGACCCTAACAATAAAGGCTGGTATCTTTTCTATCTAACATTTGATGAACCAAAGTTTCAGTATACATTTCTAATAAAATCAGGGCATGAGTCTCATTTTGACACTATTCATCACAGAAATGCTGATCTGGATAAAATTCCAGAAGAGAATATAATAGATGGGATAAGAAATATCAAAGACTCTTGGGGAACATTCTATATTAACTTCGACATTCAATGAAGTGACCGCTCCCTCGAAAGACTCCAGATATCCACATGTACCAGAGTAGTTGGTGATGAAGGGCCTCCTAAATATGATAGATTTTGGACAATGAAGGAAGCTGATAATTCAAAAATTGAGCATAGGCATGGAAGTAGCCTGAAAAAGTTTCATCGAGGGAAAATTTATAGTTATTCATCCACTCATAAAATTGACAATTATCTGAAAAAAGTTTATTTCAAACTCCGCTTCAACAAATTTGGGTCAAAGTCTAAGGGATATGATGTTACTTTTTATGACCCAAATTTAAAATAAAATCAGGGAAGTAGGAATACTGAAGCTTGATGATATCGAAGACAGTCTGTTTTGAAACATGACAGCCAGAGGAATTATTGATGAAGATCTTACTTATACTCCTTTTGAAATAGAAGAAGAGCTGCCTTCAAAAGAAAACAATCTCAGAGGGGATACTTATGAAAGAAAATATAAAGATAATTACTCTGATAGAAACTATCGTCCATCTCAAAGAAGAGAATTGAAAGAGAAAAAGTATTACCCTCGTGAAGAAAGAAAATATTTTGAAGAAGATGAGGTGCATCCTTCCGATAGATATAACAAGAGAAAATATAGCTATACGGACGAAAGATATGCACCTGGGAGAGAAAGAGGTTATGAAGATGGAAAACCAAGGGAAAATAAAAAAGAAAGAGGTAAATCACCAATCAGCAATAATCTAATTCAACTTTCTGACAACTTGTTCTGTGCTCCATTTCCAAAAACTGAAAGAGAATTTGAAGGTTTGCAGGATCATCATATCAAAGGGGCTTTATGAGTGTCAAATTTAAAAGGAAGATCAAACTTCGACCAAGATGAATATCTCCCAAATGAAAACGTCCAGCAGGTTTTGATCATGAACAGTGGGAGCAAAGTACTATCTAAAATAAGCATCTATGAGATTCCAGAATCTTCTCACGAGAAGTACAACTTTAGGCTAACAATGGCAACTAATGAGTTAAAATACTTGATCTTTCAGGATAAACTCAAGGCGTGAATCCTTTATGATGAAAATGATAAAGATGTTGCTGATGGTCTTGTAAGTTTCATTCTATCCAACCCAATAGAAGGTTAAGAGAATATTAGATAAAATTAATCTTTCAATAAAAGAACTTCAGGTGGGGTTTTGGGGTTTTGGGGTTTTGGGGTTTTGGGG